GTGGTCTGGTGTCTCGTTATCTACTTTATGGTAATAATAATAATAATAATAATAATATGAGAGGTAACTTAAAATTACTCTACAACCAATTACCTCAAAGTCTGGCGATTGATATTACGGTCTAAGTAAAACACTTCTGTTAGGAACATATTGCAACGAAGTGCTGAATGATAGGTTATGAAAGAAATCAACCTTCAGAGAACTCGTTTCTAAGAAAACAATTAGGAGCGGGAAGAGTGTACAGCTATAAAAGGGTTAGTTACCGCATGTAATTCCAACGAGCATATGATCAAGGTTGACATGCCACCAGAACGAACAATTATTCTGATAATTTTCCAAAAGCAACATGTTTTTTCCATGTATGCCAGAGTATTTATAGAAAAATTCAACATATTGGATTATCGACGAAATACGCTAATGATCCTGAGTTTAATCTCCTTATTACCTTTTTTACCAGTTGTTAGGGTTTGTATTATATTATTGTAATTTGCATTGATTTTATTTTATTATATTTTTTTTTATATATTTATATTTTATATTTTATTTTCAGGAAGGTTGGGCCATAATCAAGCCAATATTTGGTAGCAACGAAGAAGAACAAAGTATATTAAAGTATTTTGAACATTTATATATATTGGATAGACAAGTTATGAAAACAAGAGGAAGACCAAGAAAAAAAGCAGTTTACACTCCTTCACTTTTCCCTCCAGAATCATGGTCTGTAGCTGATAGGTTATCATCAGGATTGCTCAGGACGACAAATAAGGTAGGATCCTAGCATAGAATATTTAATAGATTAATATTACCAGATCCCGGTTTGTCTGAAATCAATATTATTATTTATCATTATTTAAATTATTAATTTTATTATTGTTTATCGTAGGACAGCATAAATTAATCAAAACCTTACAATCTACTCAGAACGAAACTGAAGCAATAAGTGAGATGTTGCTTTATGGTCGTAGTCATAAAAAAATGAAAATTGAAGTACAATCCCACAATATACGCTTAAAAGAAGTGCAACAAAGGTTCTTAGGTGATCCAGGTTATTTATTAGAATATTTAAGAGGAATGGCTCAATATTAAACATTTTAATTACTTATTATATTATATTATTTATATTAATACTTATAACTTATACTATTATCTATAATAATACCTACCGATTATTTTAATATTTTATTACAACTTTTTTTTTATGTTATAAGAACCTACTTAAGTTAATTATTTTAAAACTTAAATTATTTACTTGTGGGTATGTTTTTTTTTTAAATAATTAACTCGAAATATATATTTTTCGACCATAATATAATATTTCGATTACAAAACATTTCGATCATTTGAATTTTCGATAGTATATTTTTCGATCAAAAATATATTCGACCAGATCACTTTTCGATCACTTTTTTTCGTCACTAGACTTTTGGCCAGACAACTCTGACCCGTTACCCATATATTATTATTAATTAGTACATAATTAATACGAAATATTATTTTGTATCCATACAAATTTATACGAAATCTTTCGTAAATATTTTTTTTTCTAATTATAATTTCTATATTTTACGAACTTATAACTTATGTAAGAAGAATAAGTTGATTTTAGGTTAACGTAGATGCAAATGAGTTCAGTTAAAGCTAAGTTAATTAAAACGAACTGATAATTTAATTTTCTAACTTGTTAATTTCCACTCTTTCAAATTATTTTAAATCTGGGGTTTTAGAAAAAAATATAAGTTAGGGTGACAATAAAATAAATAACATAACTCATCAGTTACTTCATTACATGGAAAATATTTACCTCATTAGCTTAAAAGTTACTTCTAAAAAAAATTAACTCGTTATGCAACTTAGTTAAAAGCAATTTAACTTAACTTTTTAACTCCTTAATGCCCAGCCTATTGTTGTAACCGATACCCTCAAAGCCTTCTCAACAGTATAATGTCGCATAATCTTACTTGTGTATCCATTAACTTTCTTTTCAATCCCTTCTTTTTTCAACAACAATCCATACAACTGAGCTTGTGAAAATAATCCAACTCCATCATTTATCGTCTGAATAATTTCGTTGGTACTCTTGTGCTGATAGGTCTATAACGACGTAAAATTAGTACAGTATAATTGTATAACAATACACATTCTATTGCATGCTATAATTTGTAATGTAAATATGCAATATAAATTATAATGATACAATTCAGCGGAATTTAATAAGTGCAATTCAATTAAATGGCATCTACAAATGTTTTTAATATTAGTAGTGCTGAAATTTACATGCAATAAAACATTATTTTATTTACAAAAATAAAAAATAAAAAAAAATTTTACATACAAATCAGAAACTAATTAGTAATTATTTATTATTATTATTATTATTATTTATAATAATAATTATTAATGTACTAATACATTACAATAATATTATTACATGATGTAATGATATTATGTTGAATCAAATTTTCAAATACGTATGACCGGAGAATGGAACGAGAATGAATTTATATTGATTGAAACTTTTTTCCTCATCAAACGATTTAACTGGAGCATATTATTTAAATGACGCGAAAGTGGGCACACTAGTGAACAAAATATGGCATAAAAACATGGTTTCATAGTTCAAGTAATACGGCTTATTGAAGGGGTTTATAGTAAAAATAGCTATTATAAAAATTGTAGAGGAGAATTTCTTTAACAACATAAGAAGCTCCATTTTCAATACTTGTATTAATTAGTTAAACAATTAATCGATAAAAAGTAAAAATAAAATTGTATATTTACCATACGATATTGGATGATTGGAATACGAAATCAAAAATCGGGCTTTTAACGATTCTAGAAAAAATTCTCCTCTACAATTTTTACAATAGGGATTTATACTGTAAAGTGCTTCAATAATCCGTATTACTTTAAATACGAAACCATATTTTTCGTCATGTCCTGCGGCTGTAAACAGCGGCAGCCTTCTAAAATCAGTGTTCATACCCACCCACAATTCGATAACGACAACCTATTTTTTTCTATCGCAGCGCATAGTTAATAAAAATAACTCATAAAAAAATTGTGATTGTACAACTACTTTTGGGTGTAACTCGTTGCAGTAAGTGCAACTCAGACATCCTGGTAGTCAATCCGACTATGTCCAATAGTAAATAAACTATAGCAACCAATTATAAACAAACATTTCCATCGTAAATCAAAATTCCTGTTTGAGCACCTTCTCTGGTTGGACCTACAGGGTCCAATTGTGAATCTAAACCTTTCTCTTAAATCACTGTATTAATAAAAAAAAACCGCATCAAAATCCGTTGCGTAGTTTAAAGGATCTAAGCATACAGACAGACAGCGGGACTTTGTTTTATACTATGAAAATATTAAGATTAAGAAGAGGACGTTGTACCCCCATGATATGTTGTCTCCGTCTTACATAATTGTGAGAATTTTCAAATGTTAATATTTTACATACTCATAACTCGCTTGAAAATCAATATATCATAAAAACTAATAAGAGAAAACATATAACACACAAGATGATCAGTACCTAAAGGGTTTTTCAATAGAGACGCTCGAACTTTGATCGGTTATATCGGGAATGTCATTAAAGCCTTATCTGCATAAGTGTTGTGAATTGTTCAGTACCGTATGGCAAATCACCATGAATAGTTATAGTGTAGAACAACGTGTGCGCATAGTTAAATTTTATTACCAAAATCAGTGCTCCGTTAGAGAAACTTTCCTCGCATTACGCGATTTTTATCCTCGACACAACCGTCCTGCTGAGTCGACTATTCGACGTTTAGTAGCCAAATTCAAGTTAACTGGTTCAATAAATTATCAGCCAACACCCATACGTCAATAAAATGCAAGGTCAATTGAGAACATCGCTGCTATGCATGATAGTGTACGGGAAAACCCAAGGCAGTCAATTTATCGTCGTTCACAAGATCTTGGTCTTTCTGCGACTTCAACTTGGCGAATTTTGCGTCGAGACTTGGGTCTGCTCCCGTATAAAATCCAATTAACACAAGAACTTAAGGTAAACGACCTTATACAATGCCGTGTATTCACAGATTGGGTTCTGGGGCAGTCGGAAGTTTGCTAAAAAAATCATCTTTAGAGAGCCCATTTTTGGATGAAGCAGTGCCGGCTCAAAGATTTGCGGGGCCTGGTGCGAAATAAGCTTTTTTTTATGAAAGAGTTCTCTTCCTGAACACTTAACAAAATATACAAAATGGCTATTGGGACACGATTCGGTCAATATTAGGGCCTCTTAATAATAGTTTAAATAAATGTGCTTAATGAATAAGTCTCCTAGATTTCATGAATTTGTTAAGCTTACTGGACTAGCTACTGATTATTATTTATTACTTACAAGTTTTTAGTTTTCAAACCAACCGTACTTCAATGTGTATTAGTAGAGCGTCACACCTTATACGTCTACATTATATACAATATAAATAGTAAATACTACGTATTCATTAAATGTTCTTAGCTTCTTGCTAACAATTTTAATTATTCTAATAGGTTCAATAGTATGTTAAATAAACAACAATAAAATCCTCTTTTAATACATAAAATATTAAACAAAGAAAGATTATGAGAAAGTAATTTTAACAATATCACTGGTCTATTTTAAAACAAATAAAATGTATACAATAACTAAATAAATGTTTTTTTCTGGCTTTTTGATGTGCAAATTAGTCGATAAGTTGGCTGTATTCTAATGTTTCTGCTAATTCATTTTCAATTGAAAGGGTCGCTAGTCCAGAAAGTCTTTCTTGAGAAATGGTACTGCGAAGATAGTTTTATATGGTTTTCAATTTCGAAAAATCTCTTTCTGCACCTGCAGAGGTCACAGGAATAGTCAACAGGATTCTAAGTGCAATGTTTATATTAGGAAATGAACTACAAGATGTTTTAAGAATCTCAAGAACTTGAAGGGCAGTAATATTTTCATTTACCATGGTGCGAAAAATTATCAATTCATTGCATAAATCAGCTGCTTAGATATCTCTGGATTTACCATCTGTTAGTGTCATTTGTAAATCTTGACAATGTTTAAATAACTCATCTTCCCTCATATTTTTCAACTGACCAATTTTGTACAAAAATCCAAATTGTTCATTGTAGTTTGTTATTTGTTCAAATCTTTTTTTAACTGATACCAGCGTTTGGTCAACTAACACTAAAAAGTACTTCACTCTGAAATTTTCTTCCTCGTTAGCCAAAGAAACATCTAAATTCTCATAATCAAACATTTTGGTTTTTTTTCTAATTCTATTTTTTTTAAACTTTGTTTCAATTCCCTTTGGTGATATTATTTCTTCTGCTTTAAACTTAGCTAATATATATCCATTTCTTTGTAGTTTTCCAAAAAAAATAATTAAACTATTTAGCAGACTTGCTGAAACATCTAAATCAATTGTTACTGACCGTAGACTCTTACTTACAATATTTATTTCACATAAAATATCATACCATATTATCAAACTTAAAATAAATTCATAGCTACATATTTCTTTGGCTAAAGAATGTGTTTCACTTTTTATTTTTAAATCTTTTGTTGTATCCGAAATCTCCTCTAAAGCTTCTTCAACTTCGTTTAATTGAAATCGGATGGCTTTCACAGCGTTCACACGACTGTCCCATCGGGTTTCTGCCCATTTTTTAATAAAAAGTTTATGACAATGATTTTTTAAAATTGTCCAACTGTTTATTGATGCTGAAAATAAAACATAAATCTTTTCAATCATTCTAAAAAACAATTGAGCCTGAGAAGAACTTCCTCCAGCATCCTCGAGACAAAGGTTAAGGCTATATGCGGCACATGGAACAAAAAATGCGAGAGGATTTTGGTTTAAAATATGAGCCCGTACACCTTTATAGAGACCCGCCATATTAGCACCATTATCATAAGCCTGTCCTCGACAGTTATTTATGTCAAGACCATACTCTTTCAGTTTTTCAATCAAAATATTTGATAAATCCATTCCAGTAGTTGAGCTAATATGTACAAAGTCCACGAAATATTCTTATATTTCAGAACAGCTAGATTCGTTTTCTAAATCTATCTGTACAATTCTTATTATAATAGAAAGCTGTTCACAGTGGCTAATGTCTGGAGTAGTATCCATAATGACAGAAAAATATTTAGAATTTTTTATAAATTTAATTATTTTAAGTTTTACTTCTAATGCCATCGTGGAAATCAATGAGTCATGCATAATATGTCCAAGATAATGGACATTCGTCTCGTTGTCTTTAATACGACGTACATGTTCAGAGATGACCGAATCAAATTTAGCCAACATTTCTATAATACCTAAAAATGTACCATTATTTTTCTCATATAAGACATCTGAACTTCCTCTGAAAGCATCACTATTTTTGGCTAAATACTGTATTGCGGCAAGAATTCTTAATAAAACATTACGCCAATGAGCTTTTTCTTTTTCCATAATTTTCATATGGTAATTTATCAATTGTATGACATGTACTGACTCTAGTTTTAAGTTCTTGCCAAGCTTTTAATGATTGTAAATGATTAGGAGAATTTTCATGTTTATTCAGGATTCTTGATAAATGTCTCCAATCATTTATACCTGTTGTACTAAGGCCATTCGCATTTATTGGAAACACCTTACAATAAAAGCAATAAACACAGTCATTTTTTTTAGAATAAATAAGCCAATATCTATTTATTACTTCACCGTTTGATAAACTGTGAGTATATATTATATCGATACATACAGCATGACCTAGTGGGATTGGCCAATTTCCAGGGTCAGTTCAATCAGTCATAACTACTAGAGATTCAAAAGTAGAATTACTTACATTTTTAGCAGATGTTGATTGGTTATTATTAGAAGTCGTTAGTAAATTTTCTACTGAATCTTGATTTTCGAGAGATGTAGATACGTTGTTTTGAAGGACGTGATCAGTTTCAGATATGAGAGGTGATTTTTGTTCAGAGATATTTGTTGAACTATCAGAAGTTATATTGACATATTTAGTATGGCTTTTAGGGACATCAGATGCATTAGAAATTGTTAATGAAGTTTCTACCGAATCTTCATTTTCTAAAGATGTAGATACGTTATCCTGAAGGACGTGATCAATTTCAGATATGAGAAGTGATTTTTGTTCAGAAATATTTGTTGAACTATCATAAGTTATATTGACATATTCACAATTGCTTTTAGGGACATCAGTTTCATAATTCTCTTTAGATGTAGTTGGATTGAGATATTTATTGAAAGATTCCGTTTGTTTTTTTATAAATTCATCCTTCTGTTGTTTACGTGCTCTTTAATTACTTTCAGACTCATATTTTCTAAATCTATCTCTATCTCGACTTGTCATGATTTGTCTAAAATACTTTTGAACTTATACACAGACCTAAAATGTTATAAAATAGAAACCAGATAAAAATAATTAGTTATTATAAGGGATCGGGAATTTATGTACTAAATTTTCAATATTTCTATATAATTGTCCAAAAAAATGCCAAGTAGAATATAAATTTGTTTCAAAACTTCGAGACATTATATCAATGCTAAAATCAGTAAAACAATTTTTTTTATATTTTTGCATGCGGGTGCCTATATTGAATTTATTTATTAAATGTGTATTTTTCCGAACAAAAATTTAATTTAATTTTTAAATATTCATCTTCATATACCTAATTTAGTTACAAACTACACTGAGTATAGGGAACTAGTCGACTGTTCGAATGAACTTTTTCGAATGAAGAGTGTTCGAATGTGTTTGAATAGTATTATGTACGAATATTATATTTTCCTATTTGAACATAATTACGAGTATACGAATATCGTTCATAGTCACAAATATAATGATATAATAAATTGTTCTACCGATTGACCGATTGTGTAGTGTATTATAATATCATGTTTAATTGTATAGTTGAATTATAAATAATAATAATAATATTTCATTTTTATACCTAAAAATTACATTTTGTTGATTCCAAAATAAAAATTATATTCGAACATTTAAATTTTCTAAAAGATAACATTTGAACACTTTTAATTCAGACACACTCATTCATTCTTTCTCTTAAATGATTCGGACATAATTACTTGATTCCTAAATCATTTAAGTTAAACGAAATTTAAGAACTGTGTTTGAAAGCAAAATCATTTTAAAAGTAATAAAACAGACGACATTGGCTAGTTATTATTGTGTAGAAATAAATTAATGGTAGGTAGTTATACTCTATATTTATTTATTTACGCTAAAGATGATCAAAATACGTAGGTATGTTGTAAAAATGACAGGTCCCTACGACTATTTTGTACGGATAATAATAGGCCGTGAATCGTGATGCCTGATCAACAAAATACTACTCGTTTGCGTCTCACTTCTACTCACCGACGGACCATCACGAATAACAACGACAATAAATTTGTACTAAAAACGGCGATTCATGATTTCACGATTTAAAAAATAACGTATATCGTACATGGTACATAATCTACATAATATTAAATAACTCATAGATGAATGTATGCTACATTGTGATTGCTATAAGTACAAAAAAAAAATAAAACAATCTAAATAACGAATAATGTGTTGTAAATGTGTGAGTGTGTAAGCCGGTTGGTGGTGGCGGAGTGGTACGCGGCGATTACCGATACCTATTATTATTTATTATTCGTAAGTATTATTATAAATTGTAATAGTTCATTACATTTTTAAGTTTAAAGTAATACAACAAACATCTATTTACCAACTTACAAAATGGATGTTCTGTTAGGTAGTCGGTTATTTATGATTTGTTGTCACGTAGTAACTTGCTTACTACACGATTGTGTCGTGTGGTACTGAGTCGTAGTAATAGAGTCGTAGAAATGCAGACTGATGGCCAGTATAAATATAATAAATGTGTTTAGTGTAATAGTGTGTACCTAAGTGTGTTCGTGTATAGCTTGTTTTGGCTGACGAATAATGGGATGGGACTATGGGAGCCGCGGTTGTCGGCTTCGGCTGGGATTTACCAAAATAAATGTTTATCGCATATTCCATAGATATTAGATACTAATAGACTGATTGCATAACGATTAACGATAATTCAATTCCGTTACAACGTACAATGTTTCGTACAATATTTAATATGAAATATTGAAATCACAATAATAACAGTAGAAGAATAATTTTCAACTGCAAAAGATACTGAACATAGTACATATATTAAACTTATAATAAAATTAGGTAATTGAATAGTTAAATATATTTTTTAAGTTACACATTTTTGAATGCTCCCTAAGTGCTATATTGGTAACAATTATATTTTAATTTAAAAAATGTATCAAAGTTTAGCGCCCCCATTTCATATCAAAGGTAAAGGTGCAAAGCACGGGGCCTTCGAAAGCGCGGGGCCTGGTGCCGGGGCACACCTCCCCCCCTTAAGCCGGCTATGGATGAATAGATACGTCAACAAACAAAATTGTCGGATTTGGGACGATACCAATCCACACGAGATACACCAAAACAAAATGCATCCCCAGAAAGTCACTGGTTGGTGCGGATTTTGGTCTGGCGGAATCATTGGTCCGTACTTCTTTCAAAACGAAGCAAGCATTGCCATAACCGTCAACGGAGATGAACAAGATTTATGCGACAAAGTGATAGGAAATTGGACCTCCCGTATACATGCTACCAAGCAAAGCCGTGGTGGACATTTGAACGATGTTATATTCCGTACATAATTGCCAAATAATGTTCTTTAAAATAAAATTAAAATTAAGTAGATATCTCACACACAACTTGTTTTTTTCATAATGAAACATCGAGCGTCATTATTGAAATTATAAATTCCGTAGGTTATCCGTGATAACATTGGAATATTACGATTTGTAAGTTTTAAATACAAAATATGAAAAACAAATTTACTCAGTAAAATATAAAGTAAATTACCTGCACGTTGATGATATCTTCCGAATAAACCATAGCTTTGGGTACATCTGTCAAACTCTGATAACCGCTGTAATCGTACTCCAATTGTTTGAAAGGTTGAAATTCAAAATCTTGGGCACCAATATTATTCACGAAATCCAAATGTTCTTTAATGTAACAACATTATATAATCATGAAGTATATGTTACAGATAAATAGACATACCCATGCACGAAGAAGATAGTAAATTTTGTAATCTTCCAATCCTCACTTTGATGCCGTCGCAGTGGCCTTTTTTTAACATTGCGAATAAATCCAACATCTCTTCAAACTGCGGATCTCTGAATTGTGTAAACAATAATTAGAACACACAATATTCAACATTATTCTAACATTAGTGTAAGGATGTTGAATTGAATCTTTGATGAGTGTTTTATTTGATGAGGCCTATTCAATATCTAAGGTAACCAAACTTGAAAGTTAAAAAGTTCATTACAAACTTCCTCTTATAACAATATAATTCGATATTAGATTTTGAACGAGGCGAAAGAATGTACATATACATTTTACAATAGTGTGTTTTTTTTTTCTGTCATCTCCTTTTGCCTTTCGGAGTAATATCTATTTGATAAGTACTTTGAAAACACAAAAGTAAAAAAAAAAGTGTTAAAAAAGCGTTGGGGAAAAAAAATTAGGTAAAATGAAGATTTTATACGAAAAACCAGTATTTGATTTTAATTTTTATTGTAACTCTAAAAAAATAACTGTGGAAACATGAAAATTTGACCAATCGTTTACATTTGTATTTTAAATACACCATGAGGTTATCAAAATTAATTAATTTTGTTCTAGCTATTTTTAGGTACTTTAAAGAAGTTCTTGATTTTTAGTATTTATTTAACTATACATTGTCAATAAACAACTTTTCGTTCGGTGAAAATACTTGAACATTTACAACGTTCCTCATGAGATTTTATTGGTGGAAATGACTAGATTATGGTTATGTTTGAAGGTCAATTAAATAAAAATTTATATTTATTCAATACTAAATTATTCAATTTGTCAAATATTTTATCTGACTTTGGTTTTTATTTTTTTTTCTAATACTATTCTAAATTTTTTTCACTTTCCTAGTTTCCTATGTTTATCACCCTCTTTGTTCTCATAATTTATTATGTTATTCATATCACAATAGAATTTTATATTTTTAAGTCTACATAGGTAGTTAATGTTTAATATTTATATATTATTTTTCATATTATATGAACTGTAGTTAAATAATGTATATATTATGCGCAAATGCGAGACATTAAGAAAGGATCTGAAGCAATACAGCGGAAATGTGATCGAGAACGAGAAGCCAATTCGGTATATCAGTAGTCACTTTTATTAACAAACTAACTATAACGGAATATATAGAAAAAACAAGTTTAAATTTTAAACCAATATAGGCGCCTACAATATTCTTATTTAAATTATTACATTTTTATTACTATTTCTATATTCCTACAAATTATGACTATATAGATTCTATTTTTAATTATTAAATTCTATGTAATATTTTTTTAAATTTTTATACTTAATACATTTATGTGGTATCATACTATTTTTGTGTGCGGTATTGGGTCATGTTTGTACGTTAATGGAATGCGCCGCATAGAACAATTAATGTGAAGCCAGTAAATGAAAACAATGAAAAATAACTAAATTCTAAAGTTTATAATTATTATTATGTAAGTAATTCTAAACATAAATTTGAAATCAATGATAGAGTCAGGTTATCATCAATAGTAAATATGTATAAAAAAGTGAGTTACATACTAATAGGTCCAAGGAAATATTTACAGTTGAAAAGATGTTTAAATCGAATTTTGTTAAGTATAAAATTTAAGATATAGATAGTGGTATATAATTATTATGAAGAAGTGTTATCACTATCAGCATAATGAGATACCCATATATTTTTCTTCAAAATTTGATGTGTAAAATCGTGTTCCAAAAAGGTATCTAAAATTGTGATTGAAAACATACAAAATTAATGAGAATTGTATGTAATTTTATACAAAAAAAAGTGCTTTATATTGATGGAAAAATTGTGAAAATAGGGAGTTTTTAAGAAATATTGAGAGCTATTTAAAAACACAAGTGGCGTAAAACATTAGTACATACTACATCGAAACTTATAACTTTATAAGGAACCTTGGATTAATTTTCAAGCTTTTTTACCATAAGAAAATGTTTTTATAGGGTAATTTAAAAAAAATCTACAAATTTCTCAAGGCTGATAACTAGCTGAAAAAGAGTCAAAATATTTCAAATTTGTTACGATTCATTGAAAATGCTAATATAAATATTTACTTTCTTCGCAACAAAATGTAGCATTAGCATATCTTCTTTAACATGGTATTATCTATCTCTGTACCGAATTTCATCGTAATCGGATGAACGGTTTAGGAATTCATAAAGGACACATGTGCAAAAATGTTTTGTCTTGTATGTAGATATATATAGGTATAGATTAAAAATGAAATAACTATGGAAGAAGCCTCCTAAACTGGAATAATAGGTTGTTGATCCCTAAGAAAATAAGGAGAGTGATATTAATTACTTCATTAAATACACCTAGGAGTTCATAATATATGGTAAATTTATAATGATTTTCAAATTCAACTGCATAAATTGAAAAAAGTAACCAACATTTATATTTTACCAAAATAAGTAACAAATAGTAAGGTAAAACAAGTGACTTATAGTGACTTTAGTTGATCAATAGTAGCCCCGTATTTATTATATTCAATCAGTTTATTAATAATATGGTGTTCTTATAAAGAATATTGCTTGTTTACCTCATGTGCTCTTCTCGTATTAACAAGCAAATTGTAGGTCTACCAGACAGACGCCAAAATCTACTGACAAATTTCAATTCAGTTTTAATGTCATCGATCAACAGTGACATGTCTCGATAGAGATAGAACTCGGATACTTCAAATATAAGCGGATAGCACAGAACAGTCATTCCACAAACTCTGTACATCTAAACACATGAATAAATGATGAAATTACGACAAAAACATCGGACGGACCAAACATTACCTTACTAGTCCCAAGCGCTCCAATAGGCCTTAACGGTCTTCCGGTCAATTTCAATTTGTCGTTTATTCCCAAATTCGTGTACACCTATCCAGTTTAACAAATAATTACGTCTTTATCATTGGTAGAAAAAAAAACAAAACCAAAACAATTATAGAAAGTACAATACGTGTCGTACCTTCATCAGCTCAGTGGATGACCAGATTTGTACTGGTTCAACTTCGTGAGGCGTTTGCGTTTGGATGCCGTAAGTAGCCATCATCGCTTGCAATCGCATGGATTCTGCTATGAGAACTACTTGAACAACTAAATCGGTAGCAGTCCCCTGTAACGTACACAATATAATCACGAATAAAGTCAGTTATCGAGTGAATAAAAAAGTTGATGAACAAGCAGAAGACATTTAAGGCAATAGTGAATTATAAAAAAAAAAACTTGAATGCCAGAATTAGCCAAAAATTATATTACAGTAGTAAAATTATACAAATTTGGGCATTAATACAATGATTTTAAGTTAATAAATAATATTCTAATTAACTTAATATCTGAACTAGGGGTAGGTTGTTGAAATGAAAATTGAAATAACTACGATTTATTAATTCAGTTAATTTTAAACAATAAAACGTCTAATTAAAATCATATATAAATATATCTACGTTTAGCTGAGGTTAAAGTTAAGAATGGATTAACACGTATACAATATTATATTACTAAGGACGAATGTTGAACAGAACTGTTAATAATTATTTAAAAATTAGAAGTTGCACTTATCACTATAGGAAATTTTACTTGCTCACCTTTGAATAATTGTGTATGTGGGTGAAAGTTAAATTAATAATATAAGTAAATACTAAATTATATCCACACAATAATAGTATATGTTCAAATGATATTTTATTTTGATTGATATTTAATATATAATATAGGTACCTAGTATATCGTTATCATATTTGTGTACAGTATAATTGCATGGAAATTTAAGCATAAAATACTGCCATAAGAAGGATGACTATTATAAAAACACAACAAAATTCTCAAGGCGTACCGCAAATACCTATTCAAAATATTTAAATTTAATTTGAACGTGAAATTGTCAGATCTTAATGAAACGCTCTTTGTACCCATGTATTATAAATTATAATATATTATGAGTACCTATAATCTATATGACAAATCTATATTTTATATAGGTACCTATTTGTATTATTATTACCTATATTTATTATACATATATAAACCTAGTGTTAACGGTCAGTCATTATATTATAAGATATTATGTACCATACCTAAAATAATGATTTCAATAATGCTTGATGTATTTTTCAATAAATTAATTAATGATTACATTTGTGACTTACCTCAACTATTTTTTTTGGGAGCTTCATATGGTTAAAATATATGTATGTGAAACATTACAAAGATAATATTATGCAATATAATTAAATATAAACCTGGGTACCTACATAATGTCCAATATAGTATACATTAATATGTATATTGAATACACCATGGGTTCATAAACTTTTTTAGCTTGAGGCGCCCTATTTGAACCAAATTTTTATCAGAGCGTCCTTGCCCAAGTCATTTCATGACTTACATAATAAATATAAAAATGAATATAAAAAGTAGTAAACATTGTGATGGGTAATATGAAAATATTTATTTCATTATTTATTTGTTCATTTATACATAATTTATACATTATTAATTAACTAATCGTAATTGTTTCCGTAACCGCTACGGTTGAGTTTTTCGAATTTATTTTTGTACTGTATAAAATTCTTTGGCAGCTCGGCGTATCAGAGCGCAATTTATTACAAATACATAATATAGGTACACATACAAATTTAAAAGAATTTGCAGTTGATGTAACTTGGTTTTAAAATTATTTGTTATTGAAGGTGATATTTTAAAGTCAGTGTTATAAAAACGAAAAAGTAAAACAAAATATAATTAATAAAACTGACAGTTTAACCATAAATTATGTCTATATTTAATTTACATTTTAATAAATGAATTGCGTTCTTTTTTTATACAAGCACGTAGATTAAAAATATGCACAATACAAATCGAGATTTGGTGTATTTCATTTTAACTGTCAGACAATTATTAAATATTTATGACACCAGTAACATCTATATGAATTATAGGAATATAATATATTATTATTGTTTAGGTGTACAAGGTAGCCTAAATTTTAGAATATAATTAAAGATAATTAAAAAATATTTTACGGTCCATCATGTAAATAAATATCATATTATAATCAAAAAGTTAAATAAATACTTAGGTTATTAATTATTATAGTATATAAATATTTACAATACTGTGCGAAATATTTTACAGCAATAGTGATTTTATAGTGCAACAGTGCAGCCAGCATAGTGAAAAATTGGGGAATATAATTCAACCAAAGCGTGTTGATAATACAACAAATTATGCATACGCAAACTTTATTTCAAGTTATGACACAAGCAGATAGTTTATTGATAAAAATGAATAAACCTTTCGTCCCAAAATAATTTTAAAAATCCATTCTATCATGATTTCTTATTGTATGATAATCAAAAATTGACGTTTTCGCCATATTCTGTTAACACCTGATAATATAATTTCTTATTTTAATTTTTTACACTTTTATGTTTTTATATTTGAACTTCGAAAAAATATATGGTAAGTTTTTATTTCATATTATTAATTTGTTATTAACTTGTTTTATGCTGAATGTTATATATTTATGATGTTTGCAGTTATAAAAATTAGTTAATTTATTTATTGAGATACAATTTACAGTCGGGTAATACAGTTCAAACTGATGGGGAAATATTGATCGCTTTTAGTTATTAAGTGACTTGTTTTGACTGTCAATTTTAAATTACAAGTTTAAAGGTTTATTATTTTTATATTGTTATTTCTAAAATAAAATGACTTATTAATTTGAAAATACTTTATTTATTTATGAATTTAATAACTTGAGAAAAAATGCACTTTATAAAAGGTGGACAAGTGGTTGCGGCTCTGCTGACTGCTGTACAGCGTTGTCGAGTAAATTGTCATTGTAGGTAAAGGAAAAACGATTCTGAGCGAAGAATTTGTGTCATACTTGTATAAATAATTAAATTTAATAGTAAAAAATTAAAAATATCTCATAGCTATAAAAAGCGTCACTTTCCGGTAAGCTCGTTTTTTTTTTAAAGGTAGAAAAACGTGTTGGGAACCTTCTATAATATCTTATGTTAGCTATTAAAATAATAACTTTTATGAATTTCTAACTAAAAAATAGTATCTAGTATTTAGGATTATTCGTTTATGAATTACGATAAAATATCAAAAGTTTATAAATGAAAATTCGTTAATTTACCCATAAAAATCCAATATCTTAAACATTTTAAATTCAAACGCTCATAAAATATTAATGTAAATTTCCGGTAAACTTTTTTTGTTTGTGGGAAGCTTTTTATTAATATTTCTAATGTAAGCTATAAAAGAAAATTTTTTATGAATTTCTAGCTGAAAAATAGTTTGAAAATAATTTGATGAATTTTTGTCAAAAACTGAACTAGAAAAGCATATAACAAATTATCATGCCAATGTATTTCTGATAATTTTATACTTACTTTTTTTATTCTATTTATTTATTCGTATGACACTTACAATGAGTACTAGCACTAAAATATTTTCTTATTAGATACATAACAGGTTAAATTTAATTATTACAATTATTATTATTATAAATTTATAACTAAAATAAATAAACATTTAAGTTACAAAATACACTTATAAAGCAAAGCAGAACCAATATCACAATAAGTATCACATTAAATTGAATAGTTAAATTTAGTTAGTTCAGATGTCTACATCCAAGGCCTCCATCAGGCCTCTGCCTCAGAGGTCACTTTGATGAAGTCCTCCAGATCACCATCGTAACTTCTCAATTGGCAATCCAGAATTAAATGCTGCATTTATTGTATACTTGCACCTACATCGCATATCGGGCTCTGTTTGAACTTTCATTTGTACATGAGTTCGTTGCATCTACCTTGCCCTGTGTGTAATCTGTTGAGTCCATTCCAAGTTTTTCTAGGGAAGTCCATCCCTAAGACTGGAGTGGGTATGTTATCTACTTGGATGCCTCAAGGTCTCTCTCTCTGACATTCAGCCTGCGTATCTGGGGTATTAACCCTAGCCTCGGTGATGGTTTGAGCTCTTATAGTGACTTGAGCCTTGGGTTAAAAATTCCGTATTGGCAACTCCTGGTGTTTATCGATTTTGTCCTTTTCTTTTAGCACACAGTTTTGTCTCCTTATGTGAGGGGGTTCTATGAAGGCCAGGTGGGGTAGCCATTGTTTGTTTTCGCTCAAGACTGATATTGTACGCATGACCTTCCTTAGTTGGATATCTACTACCTCTGTGTTGGCACTTCCTGCCCATACTGGGGCGCCGTAGACCAGGACTAAGGAAGAAGTCTTGAGGACGCTTGTAGCAGCTCCCCAAGTGGTGGCAGCTAATTTGTTGATGAGTCCAATTCTTGTTTCAAGTTTTGCTGATACCTTATGCAGGTGTCTTAAAAGTTAACGTCCGATGAAGTGTGATGCCAAGGTACACGGTTATCTTTTCGTTTATGAATTTTTGGCCACAAAAATAGACGATATTTTCTTATTGGGTTAGATGTTATTTAGATGAAATTTTGTACAAGGTGGGTTCGGCCTAAAACTCCATTTCTGGAAAAAATTATTAAAACTTTGATAGATCTGATGTCAGGGTTCTCTCAATATTTTCTAGCTTTTTGTCCTGCGCTACTACGTAGGTATTGTCTGCATAAAGAAACATTTTTGATTCTGTACTTGGTATGTCGAGGGTATATACATAAAAAATAATTGGGGCTAAGACAGAGCTTTGAGGAAAGCCATTGTTTAGTATTCGTGTATTGCTTTTCCGGTTTCCGAGATAAACTCGGAAATTTCTATTTTCTAGACTGGCTCTAATGTATTATATCAAGCGTGGGCATCGTATGATGTTTGATAGTTTAAACAGTAAACCGTCTTCCCACACCGTATCGTATGCTGCCAAAAGCTCGATGAAGGTAGCTGCGGACTTTATTTTATCATTGCAGCAACGTCTGTTAGGTCTTAAACCTGCCTGTTGAATCGGGATATGAGGTTCTATAATAAGGGCTATCTTTTTCAGAATGATTCTCTCCAAGAGTTTTGACAAAACGCTTAGTAAGGCTATGAGACGATAACTAGTGAAGTTATCTGTTGGTTTTCCTGATTACGGGAGTGCAATTATATTTGCTGTTTTAAAATCTCTAGGGATTTTTCCCCA